TCATTTCACTGCATGTAACGTCTGGGTCTGGTCCCTGTGTTTGCGATTACAATCAGTTGAATTTCGACCGACCAATCAGTGAGCGCGGGAGGCGGGTGTTGTAGTTAGATGTGGGTGAACGGGCAGGTTGTAGTTTGGCAATGGCAAAGAATGCGATGGTAAAGTAATCCGGTCTGGATCTATCATGAAATTGAAGCCGGAGCAAGAGGAATGTTTAGAAAATGTAATTGCTGCAAAGATTGTGGCGCTACTCCCCACAGGCTCCGTTAGCGCCAAAGGAGATGGCTAAAGGAAGGCTAAATGCTAAATGCTAACAACTCACCCGGGCGCATTACATACATCACTGTAAGCTCAGATCCAATCGTTTCAATCTGTAAAAGGAGTTAACCCCTCCCACATGTTAACGAAGTCAATGGAGCGAAATGAAATTTGTACTATGGTGTGGTACGACCAGGCTACCACCAGATGCACTCTTAGATCAACAAATGTTTGTCTTTTTCAGTCCTATGTCAAAGTAAGAAATTGTAAATCATATGTTTCAAAAATTGAGGCGGCTGCACATGAATAAAAAGGATAGAAAGTTGTTACTTATATACTTTTTATTTGGCTACAGTACGTGCACAACTTTTTGAACCTTCTGTTCTTTTTATTACTACCCACTCAACCCTTCTTATTAAAAGATCAGAGAACATTTTGTCCAACAGTGGGGGAGTTATATGCTTAAATATAATCTCTTTTAAACTAAGTAATACAAGTGCACTATGCAGGATTAGCAATAGGAGGTTGCAGAGTAATATTTTATCAAGGCTATCAGTGTTTAAACAAAGAAAAAGGTGCCTATGGGCAGAATACTTACTCAAATGGGACCAGCTTTACTGAGATCAAACTTTATGTGGCTAATTTAAGTACTTATTCTCACTTCTGAACCTTATAAACAGCGACCCACTTGTTTAATGTCCCTTGTGACAAAAGTATACGTAGGTCAATCTCACTCGTTACAATACAAAAAAATAGGACGCTGCTCGCAAGGTCCATATTGTTCCTTGAATACAGCACTAACATATTTCTCGAGTTAGCAATACGGCGGTTGTGCTAACCCCAGGTCTTAGGTCTTGTCCTCTTTTCTCCTCTGCTCTCCTTGTTGTCTCACGTGAGTGCACTCGTGTTGTCACTGCAAAAGCTGGAAGTGCAACTCAATATGACTGCAGCTCAGGTTACACACAACCCGAAGGCACAGAGGGACGGCTGCTAACACAAACTACTACTAACATCAGATGGCTTTCACTCAACTTTCAACTGTTTTATGCAATTCTGGGAAAAAGTGCATGAAGGAAAAAAAAATTGAAATTCTGAATAAATCCTTTTTTGTTTTATATGTCATTTATATACTAAGGTCCATTGAATAACAGTGGAAGGCTCAGGGTTTAGCTTCTCTTTAGCCTCTTGCTGTTACTGCCTCATGATAAGAGTCTTTTGATTGTTATTCAGGTGTTGATTTTGTGATCAGGCGGTTAGTACCTATGCTTCACTGGAAGAAAGTCCTGGGTTCCGTTCCACACCAGACAGGGCTTTTCTGTGCGGAGTTTGCATGTTCTCCCCATATCTGCAAAGGTTGAATACCTCTAACACATGCGCTATAGTTCAGGGGGAATAAGTGTGAGTTTGTGAGGTGTTCATTAACATGCATTGTCCCGACCAAGCAAACACTATATCAATTCAATCTACCAAATTTTGAGGTTGCGATCGTTTGTTCGTTGACACAGTACTAGATTGTCAGATATATATACTGACAAATGTTAACAGTTTGTTCAGAGTAAATATGGTAAACCGCTCCAGAATTGTCGTGTGAAGAGGTGTAAACCAGGGACTAAAAATGTCTTTGAGACTTTCTGATTCTCAATTTGTATTTAAGTTTTTTATGTGATAGATCTTGCAGCCCTACTTAACAGTATTTAATCAAATGTCTATAATCTGACAAACCAGCTCTGTCTTTCACGTCACACTCTTCCCCTTGTTTGCTTATGTCACAGTTTAACTAGCCTCTCTAGAGCCGTTTCAAGTCAGAGATACCAGCAGCGGCTACTAGTTTGTGGGCTGTAATCAAAAGCTAATTAGAGCCTAGTAGTGTGGCATATATGTGTGTGTGTGTGTGTGTGTGTGTGTGTGTGTGTGTGTGTGTGTTTGAGCACTGTAAAGGGGAATTGCGTTATGTAATGTTGTGCAGTGTGAGCTGAGTAGAGGAGGGGGCGTTTGGCTGCTGGCCCACATCAAATATTCATGACCATCTTGAGCACGTCCTGAATATTAATAGAGACATGAGAGAGGTACTAAATTAGAGAAGCGTCGGTCCCCCCAGCTGGCTTGATTCATTATTTTTTTATTTTTGAAACACATTTACATCTATTCCTTAACTACGCCATTCGGGTTGTGGTCTATGTTGTTGTGTTATTATTACTTATTATGTATTTTATCTCTCAAAACTTGGTGTCTCAGCCTCTTTTTTCATACTCAGTGCTGGATTTCTTCAGAGTTGTAGCTTTGGCAAGTCTTGTACCTCCTAACAAACAGGTCACAAGCCAAAATTGTCGGTCATTTTTACCGACAATGTACCTCTTTCACCTCTATTTTTAAGGAGCTTGATGGGAGATTTACTGCTGCTGTTATTGTTCACGTGTTGCGCATTAGCTGGTATTGCGTGTATTTAAAACATGCCTCGTACAACGGTTTTAATAATCCACCAGTATCGCAGCAAAGACACAGAGGAATTCAAGTGGAAATGCTACTGAACGTCGAGAATGCGGCGTTTTGTATGGGCCCACTTGTTCACTCAAGGTCTTTGCACACTGGTCTTCTGTTCGGCAGCTTAGTACACTTTTGAAAAGCTTTAAAACACATTTCTCCCTTTCATGTCACCGTCTGGCTTTTCAAAGAGTGGTATCCAAATGTGTGTGTGTGTGTGTGTTGTGTGTGTGTGTGTGTGTGCGTGAGTGAATCATGTGCTCAACCAATTACTGTCTTTACAAATGGACCCTTTTCATAGTGGAGTATACTAACACATGTGTCCGCACCCAGAGTTGCAGCACATGCTAAAAATCAAGAAGAAAGGGCGTTTTTTGCCGAAATAAAATATCAGTTTTGTGTCAATAATACAGTCAAACAATGCTGTAGACAAGTGGCTTAATAACTTTTATTTTATTATTATATTTACGGTTAAGACAAGTTGCTGACCTGATTGGGCTGCTCAGTTTAAGATCTTTCATGAGCAAAATATTAAGGCCAACAATACCAGATCTGAAACGGCTTCTGCTTCATACTTTATGCAAAAGAAATGAAAAATGTTATATGTTTTAATGAATAATGGTTGAAAGTTTTCTGTCAGTACTATGAGGCTGGATGAATTTAAAAATATAGACCAGTTTTGCATAGTTAGTCTAAATCGTAGCCTCTTCAAGTCAACAGGACTGAAAGGTATACCATATAGGAGGATAGGATTTTCTACCACCGGGTGGATCATCAAGACTATTGGTCCTCCTGATTGTCAATTATCTGGTGATACGTGCTCGTCATAAAAGACCAGAGAGTTTTGTTCAAAATAGTGGAGAGGGCGGTTCTTTTCTAAAATTTGGGAAAATCCTCCTATAGCCTCCTTTAACTTGGTTCAAAAGATAAGGTCCTTTATTTGTCCCAAGTATTGCATCACAAGTTAAAGTCCGTAGAAATGAGGATCACACAGCACAAGATAAATGAATAATAACTCTATACTAAAACAAAATAACATAAAATCTCTAACTCTAGCAAAAAAAACTTTCAGAAAAAGCGAGACACTTACTGAATGAGATATTCATAGGTTTTGGTGTTCGGTTTAAATGTGCAGTGTATCGGGATTGCTTTTAAAATACATATATGCCTTTCTGTTTATAATTATTAAATGCCATGGTACGGTGGGAGCCTGCGCCGATGGGAAAATCTTGTCTTCCATTTCTGACACGTTTGCAACCAGAAGGCCAAAATAAGAAATGCATTACATTATATAACGCCTTCCAACATTTGCCCCATGCTGTCAATACTCTTTCATGATTTATAACGCATCTCAGTCACCGTGACGTTCGCCATGCCTACCGCGTGGTTCAAAAAGCTTTTATCTTTGGCATATTCAAATGACCTGTGTGAAACTTTAATTGCAGTGACTCACATTCTCTCCTTTTTCTTTTTCTCTCCTCATGTCGACACCTTTTGGACATCCGCTGCGGTCCTTGATGCCATTCAGACTGATCAGCCAATCGATGGGGATTTTCAGAGGAGCTCCGCCCACCTGCGCCGCCCACCCCGCTCCACCTCCCCCCTCCTCTAACCACGCCCTCTTCGAGCCCTGTTTAGAAAAAATGACTCTTGAACTCACCGAATGGTCTTCTATATGGATTTTTACTGCTTCCAATAGACAGTAAACCAAACCGAGGGTGGACCTCAAATGACAGAAAAGCCATAACTCTTTACTCTCTCACCTAATCACATATCGCACACACGCACCCTACAGCCATTTTACAGACTCGAGCATTCACACAAAACCAAAATCTAAGCTGACGACTTTCCAGGAGCTCATTCAAACGCACATTATTGGAATGTATCACGCTTTCTTCCTGTGAAAATTCAACTTCTTCCTTCGTTTTTTGAGGGACTTATTTTTTAAAAAGCTATTTACTTATTGAAGATCAGCCTGTTACATCTGTTAGTTTTGAGCCATAGCAGTTCTGTACAAGTCTGTGTTTTACTGTTTGTTTTTACAGAATACATGTCCACAGCCTTAGTTTAGATCATTTAGGCAGCATTGTTATTACCTCATAGAACACATACGTATGTAAAGTTCTCCAACGCTAGTAGCTGGCGTTGCTATTGAAGATTGTACTATCTTTACTTCCTGTCTCTACGAAGACTTGATCACTTGATATAGCTGCCGGTAGTATTTTTTCATTGAAAGTTGGAGGGTGCGTTTGACCGAGTGCATGCCCTCCAGGATGCCTCCACAGAACACCGAGGCTGAAGCCATGCAGGTCGGGTCTCTGGCGGTCAACGGAAACAAAAGTGCCGTGGTGGTGAATGTGGACGAGGGAAAGGGCGGAGCGGCGGAGGCTGATGGATCAAAAGGAAACGCAGGGGCCAGCGGGGAGGGGGAGTCGGAGAGCGAGGGGTCCATAGAGGGCATCCCGGTGAAGAGATGGATTATGCACGGCGCGGTCATGTTCGGCCGGGAGTTCTGCTACGCCATGGAGACGGCGCTGGTCACACCTGTGCTGCTGCAGATCGGTGAGTAATGCTAATGCCTTTTCTTTTGGAGACACAGTAGTATTAGGGCAGGGGTGTCCAAACATCTTAGTAAGAGGGCCACTTCAGTTCACCAGGCCAGACCTAAGGCCGGCGTCACGGATTTAAAAAACTGTCTTGACTGGCATCTGGCTGTTCTGAGCTTTAAAATGATCTATAACAGAGCTGAAGTTGGCTGAATGACACATGTTTGCCATCTCGCTAGCTATATTAGCACCATTAACGCAAGTGACACAATCAAAAACCAGGTCAGTACAGTATGTACTGGGCTTTAGAACAAGGTATATGTCTATATTGGCTGAGCTGAAGTTGGATGGATGACACAGTGAACTTGTGTCTATGATCTCAAAGATTACTTTGGGTTAGCAAAGCAGAAGGCCACATTAAATGACAAGGTAGTTGGCCAGTGAGTTTGGAAATGCCTGTATTAGGGTTTTTTTCTGTGAAAATAACTTGGTTCTAACCAATATGTATTGGTTATATCCTTTTTTCCTTATTTCATTATTACATCCAAGAAGCACTCCAGCCCCGTCTACTGTTTTCAAAATGTATTGGTTATGTTTCATATATTGTTTGGTAAATCAATACTTAAATATTTTGGCCCTCTTGAGATAAAAAACATAAAACTTGGTGTATAATTTGTTTTTCTGATTTTATTTTGAAACGGAATAACTAATGATCGAAGGGTACACGGATTAGGATGGTCCACTCAATTCAATTTCTATTCGATGTATTCTTATATAGCCCTTCACACAACCGTTGAATTCGCCAACACAGATCAGAAAATCAAACAGTTCAAACAAAAGAAAAGAAATAGAAACACATTGGTTTTGGTCCATAGGGGGCAGATGACAATGTCCGTAAGTGTGAATATGTGTCCAAAACGCTTTCCGTTTGCATCCACTTGCTTTCCTGGTTCATTCTAACGGGACCAGGTCTGGCTCCATTGTTATAGTTATATTAATAGAAAAGCAAAAACATGCCGCTGGGATTATTAAACATACCACATCTCTCCATCGTTAGCTGTTGTTTTTTAACTTCCTGGTTGTTATTGTTGTTGTTATTGTGTGATAATGACACTGGAGGCTGTAAAGTCGGGGACATGGCCAACTTGAGCCTCCTGTTATCCCACTGCTGCTATGACATTTAAACTGGGATCTTGACAGCTTGCAGTTCACTTTTGCTTTCACACAATCGGACAGCCCAGCGGTCACACTGACAGGAGAGTTGCCAAATGTCAAGTCCTCTTACGTCCAGAAGTCCTTTAGTTTGACCAGACATTGAGGGAGCTCTGTATTGAATAAAGAAAGTCGTAGGAAAGGTAAATATAGTGCCACGGCTGTATTTCACTGTCACCTTTCATCTTGTCGCTTCTCTCTTTTACTTCTTCCAAATGTGACTCTTCACTCACATAACCAAGGAACTGGGACTGGCCGGTCACTGCTTTGGGACTCGTGCATAAGTTTCCATAAGAATTCAACATGATTAAATTAGTGTTATGCTTTTGTTGTTTGTTATTAGATTGATAGATACTTTATTTTGGACCAATGCAAAACCATGAAAAGAGTCCTTACAGCAACATATCAGGCAGAAAAAAACTGTTTCAGAGCGACTTAGGACTTGCAGCCTTTTCCAGCGCATTCAAAAGTAAAAGTATTAGTTATTTGATGGTTGTTGTCCTTTTTTGGCTTTAGGCATCACTGGTGCTGCAAAGTTGTTTGTTTTATCCTTTGGCAAGTACTCCACCTTTTTGTTTGTTAAGAGCAATATGAGTGAACAAATATGCCTCAACCACAGCAGGTCATGTTACTGGTTGTTATTAGAAAAAGTGAAATAAAATGTGCATTGTTATTTGTACCCGTCATCTTCATAATTATGGTTGCTGCATGGATGATCTCGTGTGCGCTCATCGGCTCACTAGCTCTTTTTGTTCTAAATTTACCACTGATTAAGCTGCTCTAACCCACTTTTTAGTATCACTTTGTCTGAGCCGCTTTCAGATATTTGAACCACACAGAGATACAACTGTGTGTGATTAGTCTGAATAATCAAATCCATGCAGCAGACAGTGCCCAGCCTGTGACTTCCAGTTCAATGGTATTAGGCCCAGTTCATTCTCACGGAATACTCTTTTATGATCGGGCTAATACACCCTATTCACCGGATAGACGGTGATTTTGAATCATCAAGTTCAACTTTTGTGCATCCAAGCTCCAGGACAGTGACCCAACAGCTGAAATCATAATATCTCATGTAGTAATAGTTGTATTCATATCATCATCATGATACATATAATATATTTGCTCCCACCGACTCCCACTGATGTCTTCTGTTGTTGTGTCCTTGGGCAACCCCTTGGATTTAACCCCACTTTGCCTGAAGCCCCTGCTGATAGATCAATGCTATGCTCTCACCGACAGAGCAGCCGTCCTCCCGTGGACTCAGAACCTGCAGGAGGATCAGTGAGGGGCTGGTGCTCTGTCGATTGGATGCATCTGATGGCGACCCCCCAACCCAGAAATGGATTAAGGGGAAGATAACAGATGGATGGATGGATAAACAATAGCAATTTTTAACAGCTTTAATCCATGTGTTGATACATTTACAAAATGTATTTACAACTTATTCACAATTTAATTTAAACTGGAAATTGAATGATTAATGATAATTATTATTATTTTTGGCCTTGAACTTTGTCTACTCTTCTTTTCTTTACTCTTCTACATCTTTTTTAAATGTGTAACAGTAAATAAAGGTTAATTGATCTTGTTAGTTGATTAAGTTATATGGTTCTCCTTTACCAAACTTCTGTCTTCCTCAGAAACGTCTTGCGACATCACACATGACGTGCTGTATCAGCTCTTCTTCCCAAGTGCAGTCAACAGTTAAACTGACGATGACTTTAGCGATTCTTTAAGTCCGTTCCCAGGCTTTTCCAGTGCTTCACCCCACAGACAGATGCACACTCCTCCCCATGGTTCTCACTGCTGCAAGTTTCAAGTTACTACATCCTTTAAAAAAAAATTGCTTTTGAATATTGGCTGGTAAAGTTTGTACATTGGCTGCAAACAGCAGCTGTGCAGTATTGTTCTTGCAAATCTACAAACTATTGAATCCTAAGACTTTATTTCAGCATCTAATACATTTTCTCAGTGTTGTGCATGTATTGGTGCTTAAATCAATTATGCAATTATTTATGTTCTTATTTTTTATTTATTGAATATAACACATACTAAATTATTTGATTATTATCCTTAAAAAATATTGGTTGCAAATATACAATGAGTTATTGCAGGCACAAGTGAATGTATAGAATTGTACAGGCCCATTTCTCAACTCAATATACGGCTTTATCATGGTCTACAAAAGCACACCGAGTCAGCCGAGCGCAGCGGTGTGAGTGCCAGTCATATTTACACAATCTCCACAAATGAACCGAAAAATCTGCCTTACAAGGTGGTAGTCCTGCGCTGTCGAGAGCTGGAGTCTGCTGAGGGCACGGGTGGGTAGGAAAGAAAATGTGAGACAGGCCTCTTCTCTGACGAAGTTTAAATCAGGGTTAAAAACAGCTCTATTTATCTGTTTGTGTCTATCTTTCTTTTTAATGTGCTATGATTATTTATGATGCCTTGTGCGACTGTTTCTCTCTTGTTTTGTTCAGCACTTTGAGTTGCCTTGTGTATTATTTGTGCTATACATATAAACCTGCTTTAGACTGGACTACTTGTATCCAGAAGTTGAACAATTCATCACTCATTTTATTTTTGAGAAGAATTTGCATTTTTCATATGTCCCCTAGAGCTGTGTGCAAGACAATTGTGGGCTATTATATACTCGAGATGGGCCAATAGGAGTCAAAGTGAAAGTGTTTAGGGGCTGGGCCTATATACCGCAGGAAAGGCTTTGAAAACTGCTGCTAACCCAAAGTTTGATCAGCTGCATACAGAGTTCCTTGCGAAGGAGTCTACGTTGTGATCCACAGTGAAAAAGCAGAGCTGTATTGATCACTGCACTAGTGGTAATGCAGTTGTATTTGCGGACTGATTAGTCTCGAAGCTGATGCCCCTAAAAGGTTTGTGCGCAAATGGTTAATGGAGCAGAAAGCAAAGACTCCAGGCCACCTGTCTGCCTCCTGTAGAAACAAGACTGGTTCAAGCGGTTTATCATGGAGTGTTATAACTAGCTAGATATTTAAACTTCATCCACAACTGAAGAAAACTGCAATATTTAGAGTACATTTAGAGCATTCATAGTTACTACTTGTTATTGAGCCTGAAATATTTTGCATCATTTTCACTACAAGAGGGAAGAATATTTTTACAAACATTATGATCTAGCCTGGCCTTATCCATCCGTAAACTCCGGTCAATTATAATTTCTCTGCATGTAACGTCTGGGTCTGGTCCCTGTGTTTGCGATTACAATCGGTTGAATTCCATCCGACCAATCAGCGAGTGCGGGAGGCGGGTGTTGTAGTTAGGTGTGGGATATGTCAAGAGTTTGCGCCGAACGGGCAGGTTGTAGTTTGGCGAAGAATGCAATAGTAAAGTATTCTGGTCTGGTTCTATCAAGAAATTGAAGCCGGAACAATAGGAATGTTTAGCAAATGTAATCGCTGCAAAGATTGTGGCGCTACTCCCCACGGGCTCCGTTAGCGGCAAAGAAGATGGCTAGGCTAAATGCTAAATGCTAACAACACACTCGGGTGCATTACATACGTCACAGTAAACTCAGATCCAATCGTTTCAATCTGCAAAAGGAGTTAACCCCTCCCACCTGTTAACGGAGTCAATGGAGCACCTCCAGACCTTAGTTCGAAATGTAATTTGTACTATGGTGTGGTACGACCGGGCTAATTATGATCCAACAAGAGAAATACATCTTTGTGAATCTTCAGGAGCGTGTAGTTTGCCCGTTGATGTCTGTTTCTATGTAAATTCAATTCAATTTATTCTTGTATCGCCCTAAATCACAACAGTAGT